GAAGGGAATATATATTTATAAGAACATTGCAGCAGGTTGAAAATAATTCATGTTGATGCAGAAAATTTGATTAATTGTTTACAAAAAACTGCCAGCCCTAAAACATAGCAATAATCTGCTTTCTCGTGAGAAACTGTAGGCCTAAGTGTGCCGAGACGAACACGGAAGTTGTTGTGCAAGTAGTCCGTTCTTTAAAATATACGAGACAGGAAAGATAAATGGAATATACTGTAAATGCTTTTGATGATTAAATGATCATTAAGTGATCATTTCACTGCATTAACACTGATTTGGAGAGTATTCTGCCAATGCATCATGAACACACGCGGCAGCAGATCATGTCTGTAGATGGCAGTGAAGCAGCGTCGTTTCTCTCTGTTGAGACGGTTTAACATCAGCCCACCTAAATGTGTGGTCCTGACAATAGAAATGCTGTCTGCATGGGCACTGCTGGTCATTTTGAGATAAAGAGACGTAGGTTTATCGCTTCTTTGAAGAAGCCTCATTTTGATGAGCTACCCAACAGCAGAGCATTTTAATTAGAGTGTCAGCATATTTAAATCTGTATATGAATAATTAACTCAGTCCTGCGCCGTGTTAATGCAGTAGGCCTGATACTATCCTCAGTCAAATTGCACAGGCCTGATATTTGTAGCGGCAGATTTGATCACAAATAGGTTAATTTGGGATTTGTGGTGGATCGTGAATGCAGAAGAGTGTGGAAGCTGTCTTTTTTAAATCGAGGCCAATGCAGATGAGGTTAAGCATAGCAAGCACAGTACCAACATTTCCCTTTCTTGTTCTGATAAGCTCTCAGGTCCATTGATGCTGTGCAATAATCCTGCATTACTCATTGACACTACCGTACTGTACAGTTTAGTGTAGATTTTTCTATTCATAATTATATTCAAATACAATTTAAGTGCAATATAGAAAACAAAGGTGTATGCATTTGGGCACACAGCAACAATACAACAATAATACCAGTACAAGAAAGTCACGAAGGCATGCTTTTGGCTCAGGGTTATTGGGGGCGTGTCCCTCTGACGTCACCAGGTCTGGATGTATAAGGAGGGAGTGGCACTATGGCTCCTCCAGTGGAGACACAGAGCATTTATCTGAGTCATGCAATGATTTATCAAGCCACTCTTTCAAATCAAGCCATTCATTTTTCTGGAGGCAATTTTAAAAGAGGAGGTAAGATCCAACATGAATTAATCTTGCATGCATTTTTGTCTCTGTGCTGGTTAAAACTAATAATTTATTTAACATTTAGTCAGAAAACCTTTTTTGTTTTATTAATATGAATTTAAAGTGCACTGTGTTTAATATATATTTGTTTGTCATCTGACATACCCTTATCTGAACTGATGTAAAACTATACTAATTATTATTAATTACAGGCCTGTATTTAAAATCCACTTATTATGAAGTTATATTACTCTTGATGTTTAAATAATTTAAAAATATGTGATGGCACAAAGAAGACGCCCTCTATAGGACAGGTGATCCACACAATCCTCAACACAATATTGCTCTCTTTTGTCTTGCATTGTCATTGTTATTATTATTATTATTGTGTAATCAACTGTACATTCCATAATAAAAGAGCAGAAACAGTGAAGAAGTTTTGTAAAGTGAGAGAGCAGAGAGAGCAATGCATTCTTATGGCGAGACCAAACCTGTACTTACGAAGAGTGCAGTGTAAATCTGTAATTTAACATAGCTCGCCCTATTTTAGTTCCTTTTGTTGTATATTCGGAGTAAAAAATGTCTAAAACCTCTTCTGACTGAAGCCTATATATTCCAGCATTTATTTTGCATTCTTGTCACTGTGCAACTAGCTGAAACACAGAGCAGAAACGCTATTATTCATATATGCGTACTGCTGCTGAAATATGCTTCTCGTTTAGAAGAATCTGCATTGTCAACACATTTTGTTCTATCAAAAATGTACTTTATAAGCTTCAGTGAATGCTGGTGCTTTGCTATTTATAAAGGGAGAAGGTATGTAATGTAAGTCTACATGTTAGTGATGTACTTGTGTGACTTCCCTCCTATATGTTGTTTTGCTCCTGGCTTAAATGGCCTGCTTTAAGGGGCTTCTAACAGTCTTTTGAAATGGCTATGGGAGAATATCTACCCGGATGTTGTCCTTAGATGCCAGCCAGGGATGCACGCAAGCATCTGAGTTCATACGTTTGCGGTAATCCCTGGGGTCAGTGAGTTTGTGGTCAAGCGGTTTATTTATTGCTTACTAAAAATTGCAGCGGCCATGCTCAGTAGAGTAGAACATTCCTTCTTAGCTGGATCAGGACCGGCTCAGTCACACAGAACATAAATATGCAAAGAGCCAAAAACTGTGTGCCTGACAGCTTTTATCCTGATGCATCAGCGCTCTTTATTGATCAGGAGCTGCCTGATGGCCATAGCACACACGTTCACACTGTAGATCCATCTGATCATATTTCAACAGAGTACAGCCCGGAGGATTTAATTGCTCTTTCAAAACCCAAACATTCTCAGTTTGGTTTTACTGAAGTATTAGCTTAATCTCAAATGCTACCCCTAAAATAGAATATAATTTTTAATAATATAAAACAGGAATAGACATTAAAAATTAACATAGGTAACGTATTGGACAATGGTAATTCACTCAAAAATTACAGTTCTGTCATTATTTATTCCCCCTCATGTCATGCCAAAACTAGTATTACTTCTGCATAACACAAAAGAAGATATTTTGGTTACGAAAAGTTTGGTTAACATTGATTTCCATTTGTATGAAAAACAAAACAAAACACTGAGGCATTTCTCAAAATATCGTCTTGAGGAAGGTGCCACGTAGGATTGAAATCAAACTTCACTAATCAATGCATACATAAAACACATGCATATACACCTATAAATTACTCACATATACATGTATACTATTGGATGTTCAAAAATATATATGAAATACACGTGCACACTAATATGAAATTCATACCAATACATGTTAGTAATGAATGCATACACTTGTGAATAACTTGCGTATACATGCATACACGTATAGACACTCGCATATACGTATACACTTGATCCATGCATATATTTTTATAAACACTTGCACATAAATATAAACTCGATGCACGCATACACATCCATAAAACACTTGTGCATATATTCAAAATAAAATTCACAAACGTATTCTGATAGAAAGATGTATGCTTTAGTTGTGTATAAGTGATTTCATATGTGGATGTGCGTAAACTTTTCAGTGCAAACGGAAGGCATCTCAGTGTAAAAGGAAAGGTTTGAGCGTAAACAGAAGCCTGCCTATTTGCTGCGTTTGCAGTGATGGACAGGGATCGTGCTACAACTGAAGCAATTAGCATTTTGCAAGTTTGATTTATATTCTACGTGGTGTCTCATAAGAAAATCTTTCACATTTGAGATTAGATATACGTATACACCAGAGGTGTAAAGACAAACTAAAAAACAATGCTTGAGTAAAAGTACAGATACCTTACAGCGAAAATGACTCCATTACAAATCACCAATTACAAAACGACTTGAGTAAAAGTCTTAGAGTATCTGATTTTAACAGTACTTAAGTATTTTACTGAATGTAGGCTCAAAGATGCATATGCAAACACACACACACACACACACACACACAATTTTTGAATTATTTATTTATTTGCGTTTGCAAAAGTCTCCATTTAAATTAGTAAAGCGATCTCATTTAAGGATTTTCTTTCTTATAGGTTGCTGATAAAATAATAAAACAAAATGCCGTGTTTTAAGATGTGCATCAAGGTATAAATAGAGCGAAAAAAGAAAGTTAAGAAAGTCCTGGCATACGCCCCTGTCAAAGAGATGTTGCATCTCTCTTATTGAAGCAATCTTGTAGAAATGTCCTCGTCCACACTGAACAACATGAAAGGCTGTGTTATACCGCAGCACATCTGGTGAAGGAAAACACCAGGCCTTCCCAATCTGTGGCACAATCACAAGGTCCTGACTGATGAAGGAGCTCATCAGAGGACTCAGGAGAGCGTGATCCAAACTACACGCTCTTTATCCAATCAGTTAACCAGTGCTGATGCACTCTTTATCCCACTGATGTTGTTTGCGGGAAGTTAGAGTTCGGACTAATTCAAATGTGAATCTGGTAGCTGTTTTTTGAGTTTTGGAATGGTTGGACTGAACATTAGTACCCCAAAAACATGTTTAATAGTCAGACCCCAGGAACATGGGAACTCGTTGAAAGTGATTGAAGCAATTTACAAGCGATTTGAGGTTCTTGACTACTGAGTGTCAGTTTAACGCAGTACATCGATTCCCACTGAAACCTCGACTTCTGCTGGTTTCTTCTCTACTTAATCTTCAGTCCAGTAACATCTTAGCATTAGCATTCCTCACATACTCATGAATTGTCTTTGAATGTCTCGTGTTTTGCTTGTCATCATGGTTATTGCAGTCGAAGCCACAGTCAAACAAAATGTTCCCATGGCCTGACAAATGTGCTCAACGCTATAGTGTCAATGTCTCTAACATTTCATTGTGGTTTTATGGGACAGCGCTCTACTATAGGGAGCGATTCCTTGTGTTGTGTTTGCCGTGGACAATGCCTTCGCCTTGGCCTTTCAGAATAACCCTTGTAAAGCAGACGAACACTTTGTGCAATGTGTGTTTTGAAAGACTGGCTGTTTGGCATGCAATGAAATCTAATCGCAACATGTTCTGCCTTGTTGTACTCTTTACACTATGGTACTTTTTGCACAGAATTATTACAGCTAAGTTTTCTGTAAGTATAGGTTTGCGTGTAATGTCGGGCATTGTCTCGTAATGCAGTACATGGCCACATGCCATGTTTATTTCCATGTTGTGTTCACCAGCTTTTTTTGCTTACGCTGTTATTTTCCTTCGCTGCAGCCTGCGGTCTGTTGGGCAGCGCTTTATGCTAAATCAGAGTCTGTAGACATCACTGAAGCAAAGCGAGAAAATAAGACCACATGTCGATGGGTACCAAGCAAAACGTCCCTCTTACCAATGAGACTTTTATATGGTTGAATAAAAGGGAATTGTCGTAGTCTGTAAAGTTATAGAGGGCCTGTTGCTTGGCCAATGAAACCCTAGCAAAATAGCCTGAGACATGTTGTTTTATTTATATACATTTAAGCATATTATTTAGGGTGTGTCTGGCTGACGAATAAACTTGCAGGAGTTTATAGAGGAATGTAAAATTCCGGGTAGAGTTTTAGGTTAAATTTGAACGTTTTTGCAGCAAATATGAGTCGTGCATGAGCTGTAACTTTAGAGGTACAACATCTTTTCACTTGGACACTTATTTACCCCTTAACGATTCATAGTATTACTCTAGGTACTCATATGCACATTTTAGGGGTAGATACGGTACAAACTTGTCCTTTAAAAGGTACTGCCCCAGTGACAAGCTGTTAAAGGTACAATTTTTGCACGTTTTTGTCTGGTAGAGCTGTGACCAGCAAGATGCTAGCAGTGCTAGATGATTGCATAGGTCTGGTTACTTGGTGGCTTCTTACACTCTCAGAAAAAAAGGTACAAACCTGGGGCGGTACCTTTTCAAAAGGCACACCTTTGTACCTAAAGAGTCCATATTGGTACCTTAAAGGTACAAATTAGTATCTAAGCTGCAACTACATGTCAGAGTATTAGAGTATTAGTAGACCAGGGTTAGGATTAGTAAAATAGGGTAAAAAATAGTAAAATATTTATGGTTACTATTTTATAAAATCGGACAAATTGATACGAAATTATGTTACATTTTCTAATGAGATTGAACCATAACAATAGTCAATACAGCATGTGTGCTATGTTTTATAAAACTATTTGACCGTTTAATGGGGGGAATAGACTGAAATTAAAACTGAAATGAATCACGTTGTGATTGTTTACAAGACATACAGTATGAAAACCAGTACTGATCGATTTTCATCAATTGTCAAATCTGCCACATTAAATATGCGCCATTCCTGTGAATCAGCTGGGTTATCACATGTAGTGAGGTCACATGACATATGGATTGAAATTAATGTGAGACAGCATTTAAAAAAATGAGTTTACTTGTTTGAAAGCTTATGATGCACTGTGTCTGGTAATGTGTTTGAAATAACGACCATGTTCAATGTGTTCTCATGCAGAATCTGTATGCCCCACACGTATTCCCGTGGCTTCCCGTGATGAGAAGGGCTTTGAGCTGATATTGGGCATGAAGATCCATCAGAAGGCTAAGAAGATACAGGGCTCATTAGTGTCAGAGGCAGCGTATCTGCTGGACAAGAGCACCGACATTACTGAAAACACCAGGTTGGTTTTAACCTAATCATAAATATTTAACATGTGTATAATAATGCAATTATTGTTGATTCTGCAACTTTTTAATCACTTTTTAGAGCTCCCAAATGGGTATTATTTTATTAACTGATGTTTTGTATTGTGAAAATCTATTATATATTTATTCATCTGACTAATGCATGTTTTACATTTGTTTTAAAGGGAGATTTTTCCCGAAGGTCTTCCTCCCGCCTATGTGTTCGTGTCGACTCTGAGGCTGAGAGGGCCTTCAAGCAGGGAAAAGCTGGACCTGTGGAGGGTCCTGTCTAAAGACGGACAGATTCAGGCGGCTGTCACACTCAGCGGACTGGACAAATCTGTCATCTTCACTTCCACAAACACGGTTAATGAGGGACAGATAGTTACTTTTGATGCACAAGGCACTGAGGCGAGTGAAATCTACCAGCAACTTATAGAACATTCTCCTTTTATATGCAAGTTTCACTCATTAATCATCCTTACACTAATGTAACAGATCTACTTAAACAGAAGTTTAACTGAGCCACACACCCGTTTAGACAGCAGAATGCAGAAATAAGCTGCTTTATGACACGATTCCTTTTAAAACGGTGACTTGGCTATATTTGTGTAGTCGCTGCAGTTTCCTGTTTAAAATCCCATGACACTTTTTCCACTAATGCTCCTCACTTATACACTTAATACACATTCTCAGAAATGTTTTCATCTTCTCTGTTCCAGCAATTATCATCTTGTACCTGTTCCATGTCTTCTTTTGCTCTTAATGCCAAAGCCAAGTAGTTTCGTGTGCTGTTTTTCTTGCCAAGAGCCATTTTCCTCCATCACGACCCCTCATTCATGCAGAACAGCTTGTTTTGGAACATTGTCAGACTCTTGTGACATTTATGTCAAATTAAATTATTTTTTTGTGCACACCTTTAGACGTTATTCATCTTTTCAATGCATCTTCAATCAGCACAAACCCATTTCTCAAAGTCTGAAACGTCCCGCAGGCTCTTTTTGATGGAAGCTGGCACCAGCTGAAGGTTCTGGTTAGACCCAGACGTGTCTTCTGTTTTCTGGATGACCAGCAGATCCAGGATGAGGCTCTGGATGCTGTGGTACCCATCTACATCAACGGGAAGACTCAAATCTCCAAACGCTCTGGCTCTGACGCTACACTTACTGTAAGTAGCTTCCTGTAGTACTGAACACTGGGATATTGCTGGTTTTTAATAATGACTGATATAGACATTACGGCTCAATCATCTGCTAGGGTTAGAGAAACCTAAATGTATTTATTTCTTTGTTTCTCATTGATCTCCACAGACAGAAATCCAGAAACTGAGGCTTTACTGCGACCCACAGCAAAGTGAGAGAGAGACAGCATGTGAGATCTACTCTGTGGTAAGAAAACAAAACTGCGGGACTTCTGACCAATAATTCCTTATTTAAAACTAAAAAAATCAGTTAAATATCTTGAATGGGCTTAATGTATACACACCTTTCATGAAGGTCTCGATGTCCGCCGGTACTAGAGCACAACACACAAGCCATGAGCTCCAGTCTTGTTACGCAATGACATGTTTCTGTAGATTTCCTTTAACAAATTAAGAAATGTCAGAAGAAGAAGAAAAAAAAGAGCTCAGCTGTTCACTTTCATAAAGCTTTGTGAATGACATAATCGATTTTTCTTTCATATTGGAGCAAATGGGAACACGAACATGATATTTATTGTAGCTTCTGTTGGCCATTATAGAAGTTTAACCAACTATGACGAATTCTGCTTCTGAGAAACCCAGAAACAGGTCCATTATTATCAATAACTTGTTTAGTATGTTAGATTTACTGCCATTGCTTATTTAATTGCATCACACACACACACGCACACGCACGCACGCACACACACACACACACACACACACACACACACACACACACACACACACACACACACACACACACACACACACACACACACACACACTCCATTATGGAATGAGTAGTTAATTCTTTCATATATCATTGTCTTTCCTCCACAGTTTTCAAATGCTTTATTCTTGAATTAAATGTTGTAATGTTTTGATTAATCTCTAATTTGGCTGATTTGGTTCAAGCCTCTTTATTAAAGAAATGTATAGCGCAAACATACTTTCAGAAGCAATGCTGCTTAAAAATCTTTACGACGTACTGCAAGCTAAAAGACTTGATTGAATCTACAACTCTGCAGACAGATCTTTGGACAAACTAACTGCTCTTATTCTCCTTGTTTTCTTACAGGATGATGAACGGGTAAGTAGTTAGCGTTTGTTTGTTACTCTCGTGAATTTACCGTCATTTGAAAGGATTTACGTGGTAGCAGTTTATGCCGGTCTTTCTAGTGTCCTCTGGATCGTGAGCCCACTAATGAGACTGAAGAGGCGTGCGACTGCAACCAAGGCCAGCCGGGACCTCCAGGACCGAGGGTCAGTCAGGATCTCCACTATCATTCCTGTTTAAATGCATAAAGTTGCTTATTTACTGCCAAAGTCTGATCTCAACAGGGTTTGCGTGGAGAGAAAGGAAGAGAAGGACCCCCGGGCCCAGATGGTAAGCCTGTGAGTAAAACCCCATATATTCAGGATATGAGTCTTTTTCAGGCCAATCTGTGTGAACTGTACAGTTCTGAAATGTGTGTTTTCTCAATAAAGGGACCCCCAGGTTCCAGAGGAGAGCCAGGAGATCCAGGTATACCTGGAGAGAAGGTGAGACGCTCTTATGGTTTGAAATCATTGCTACGATTTTGAATGCCACAGATGTTCGGTTTCGTTTACTACAGTCAAACTGAAGCGCATGTGTGTTCAGCGTCTGGCGTCTCACGAAATGAGGACATAAACACATGAACAACATCTCCACAACTGCTCCGAGAGTCACTTCATCAGCATTTCACTGTTTCATTTGAGAAAAACTATCCTCATATCATACTCACAGAGAAGCTTTAAGGTCTTCACAGCAGCACATCAAAATAAAAGTTCGGTTTGAAGAAATTTGTAACAGAAATATCAGTAGAATGAAAAATTTTAATACATTTTCGTCAAATTGTAAAAGTTGTAAAAGCAATTAATTAGACATGATTTTTGATTACTAAAATGTAATTTAACCGGAAATGAAAAAAAAATAATCCAGAAAAATTAAAACAGAAAAAACAGATTTCATACATTGCTGACCATGTGGTTTTCTTTCTTGAAGAAGAAAACGCTTCTTCTGTGTTTTTTGCTTTCCTCTCACTTAGGGTGACGTGGGTCCAGCAGGGCCGAGAGGCGACCCAGGACTTCAGGCTTTAAAAGTGAGTCTTTCACTGGGGTATATCGGGAAAAAACCCAACTTCACTTCACGCCTTTCCTCACAAAATAATCATCAGATGCTTTTAGATGCTCATTCTCAAATTTAGATGAAACAACCATTCGGCAGGAATAGAGCCTCTTCCCACTTTGGTGGAGCGTGATGTTCTCAATCTAGCTTCCTAATTACCAGCTTTTAGATGTAATTCAGTGAGCAGACTCTTTCCTTTCCTTTACTGCGAGTCACATTCGGTGTATTTTATTTCCAGGGTGATCGAGGAGTGCAAGGGTTGCCAGGGAAACCGGGGCCACCAGGACCCACGGTAAGAGCTGAAATAATTAAAGTCTCTTTCCAAGCCCTCAGCCAGGTCTGTGTGAGTGACGGCTTCCCTGTGTAACCGGCTCAATGGCTCCTTTATAAGCGTTTGACAGAAGTGTGTAGAGAGAACACACAGAGCAAGCGGCGGACAATCGCCATCCAGCACACTGGCCAGAAATGCATTGGTTTTATACAAACAAAGTGCTTTAAACCAGACCGAGTAAGTAAAGAAGAGCCAAATACATTACTGGAGACAAACACAAAGACTTTAGGAAAATCTGCTTTTGTGTGCATTTACATGCACCGGTTATGCTTTATAAGCCAACAACACCTGTGGTCATTTTCCTTTATCGGCGTAGAGTCATAAACAGCTTAAGCATAAGACAATCGACTAGATTGCTGTGGTTTTCTTGCGTTGCCATCATTGGTTTGCATGTAAATGGGTAAAACACTTTATTTCAAAAACCGTTTGTTTGGTGTGCATGTAAACATGCTTTTTGTCTTTTTGTTTCAGGGAGCATCAAAACCAAACATTGGTACAGTTGGATTGCCAGGAAAAAAGGTAATAATATTTATTAATAATATAATATTTCAATTCAAAGCACATAATAAATTATTGCCAAGCTTAATTCTCATTAATAAATTAAATGGTAATTGTTATAATTAAATTAAATTGTAAAGTGCATACATCATGATAATAGTTGTACTTCTTTTTAATTATTTTTTTATTCAAATAAGATACTATTGCTTTACAATCTTTTCACTGAACTGCAATAATTTTGTTTACTGTTTTTCAAATTGTAAAATTATTGCAAATAGTTATTTTTATTTTAAATGTTATTTTTAATGCAATTATATGAAAAATGGGTAATACAATGGGAATAACCATTTAGAATAATGGAAAATTACTCTAAAGTCAAATGTCACGATGCATTACAGCCAAGACAAATTGAGAGAAAGTGTACTTAAAGGGACAGTCCACCCAAAAATGAAAATTCTGTTAAAAAAGGAGTCAATAGAAACAAAAACTGTTTGGTTACCAACATTCTTCAAAATACCTATGTTCCACAGAATAAAGAGAGGGTGAGTGAATAATGACAGCATTTTTATTTTCGGCTGGACTATCCCTTTAAATGTCTTTAAATTATCCAATGAATTATTTCTGTTTTATTTATTTATTTATTTGTAAATTACCATGTACTACTATAAAGAAAAAAGAAATAAGTAGTGAAAAGGCCTTATTCATAAACTGTAAGCTGTCATGACAAGAATGCTGATAATAAACTTGACATTTTTAAACAGGGAGAGCAGGGGGGGAAAGGAGAACAAGGACCTCCTGGAGAGCCTGGTCCAATGGTAATGTACTGTGATGTTATATGACAACACAAAATGATGTGCCAGAAATTAGTTTTGTCCAGACGATGTCCTCTAAGAATTTGTCATTCATTTGCTCTGTTACTTAAAACACAAAAGCAGATATAAAGATATGATACAATGCAGTGCTGCGATGATGAACCATCCTGTTCAGATTCTTCACTGTAATTAAGATGCAGCCATATTCTTTAAAAATGTGCACAGAATTTGAGATTAAAACACGTGTCCATATTTATAACTTCACATGCACAACCAAATACACAGTAAAGAGCACGAGAAGTACTGTTCAGTTTCAGACCATCTTCTTACTCAACATAATCTGTCTTGAGCTGCTGTGAGCCGATGTTTCTGAGAAACTCCTGTGTTGCTTCAGGGGAAACCAGGACTCGCTGGAAATGAGGGAGCAGCCGGCACTGCTGGAGCAAAGGTCAGTCAATCTAGAAAGTATTTTAACCGCATACAATGGTGTAAAGAAACATAAACGTCTGTAATGTCACTCAGATTGCTATATAATAGTAATTTCCCATCAGCTCATGTCTTGAGACACTGGGACACTTGTGTGTGAGTCAACTCATCGTTACTGTCAAATGATTGAATGCATATCATGGGATTAATACACAGATATTTATAGGTCGACAGAGAGTAAAGACATCTGTCAGGCGTGGAAGTTAGGAGAGGTTAGCCATTAATTACATTTATAGTGTAAGTGTGGAACTACTGTCACGTTCAGTTCCCTTTCAAGGGAACTTCGAACTGTGTCTTCTAGGGGTTGCTATGGGGAATACCTTCAGTGTGACCAGTGTCTGAAGCATATACTGTATCTAAAAACGACAATAACACTGGCCGGCGACAGCCTATGACGTCATTACCCTGCGCGATCACAGTATAAAAGGGTGCCAGGGGAACACATCATCCTCTTCTTCGTCTTCACTGACCATTTGTTTATGTTAGCGTTAAGCTAAACACGACTAGGAGTGCATGTTTCTCGCCAGAGGCTTTGCTCTGATACCTGCAGTTTCACACGGCTCGCGTGCTGTGTGTATGTGTGTGGTGAAGAGCAAGCTCGCATTCAGCTCTCGAGGGAGTTGGATGCGCTCTGCATTCATTGCTTATTTCTTGTGAGGGATAAGCATGAATTGAACGCGCTTGTTTCACGAGGAGGCAGCTTGTGCTCATTGTGATGCATTCACAGGACTACTGAGGGGGATGTGAGAATTTCACCATTTACCTGAGTTTGTAGATAGCATTTGCAAGAGTGCGTTCGCCTCTCGCGAGAATAGCGATGCATTCGCGGCAGCAGTTTTCATTCACGCTTGATTTCCGAGGTAATCTAGCTGTTGGGCGGAGCGTGTTTGCTGTGTTTAGAGCTGAATGCATGCTGCGCGTTGCGTTGCGGTGAGAACATGGAAAGGACCTGACGGGAAATTCCTCCCTATCAGTGATTTCCTTTTGTTTGATCTGTCTGCAGTTATTGGACAGCTGGTTTATATCATGTCCTTCTCAGATAACCACATTATACTGCACTCCGGCTTGAGTAAAAAAAAAAGAAAAAAAAGAGAGGCTTCCATTCCTTCCCGATCTTCATTTGGAGATCGAGGAAATTTGGAAAAATCCTTTCTCGTCCCGCATCCACAGATTCCAGCATACTAGTTATGCCAACATTGAGGGAATGCATGAGAATGGTTATGAGAAAATGCCACCTGTTGAAGAGACGCTGGCCTGCTATCTCTCCATGGGGGAGACATCTTCTCTTAAGGCTCCCTCCCTCGGCAGCAGGTCAGGCTGGAGTCTCGTTGCACACTATGTTGGTGCTTCAGGCTTTTTAGGCTGATCTGCTGAAAGACCTGGATAAAGGCAGGGTCTATCCCCTGATGAGGTGGCTGAGTTGCGTCGCACCACGGATCTTGCTCTCCGTGCCGCTAAGCAGGCCGCCACTGCCATTGGCAGATCCAAAAAATGGAAGCCATGGTGGTTACGGAGGGACATCTGTTGGTGTGTCTGTGGAGATCGGGTCGAAAGAGAAGGGCTTTCTTCTTGATGTACCGGTTTCCCCTTCTGAGCTTTTCGGCACTTCCAACGAGACGGTCGTCATGAGGTTTAAGGAGGCCAAGACATGCTCGGCTGCCTTTAAATCCTTCATTCTACAAGGGTCCAGGCTTTGGACTTTGCCTCCAGCCTATATCATGAGCCTGAGTCATGCGTGGGAGCCATGGTTGGTGATTATGATCCATTTTTATCTATTCTACTGCTAGCTCTTGTGTATTTGATGCTAGTCTTTCTCTGCAGCGCTACTTGGACCTGTTCTGTTTTTCTGACTTTAGGTTTGATCGACCTGCTAAGTCAGGACCTCCTGCTGTTGACCAATTACATTGATGGTTTCACTCATCGGTTCTGGTTCCAGGCTGGCGATAGCTTTCATCTTCGGCTTGGACACGTAGCCCTCATCTTCGGCTTGGACACGCAGCCTGGGCTTCTGAGGAAGTCTCCCAGCATTAGGTCCCCAGTATAACGCTGCAACCTCAGGACCTGTGGGTCCTTCTCGTGGGCTAGTACTCTTCTGAATACATGCTTCGCGACATGCTCCCTATCCTCTGGCCAGGTGCGAACTATTCATTTCTCACTCTGAGAGGTCTCCCGAGATTTGAATCGTTCCTTAAACTTCATGCACGTTCTCTGAGCTAGAGCTCCTCTCGCTGACGCGTTGAGGAGCTCAATGCTCCATAGACGGTCGGGCCCGTGGGGTACCAACAGGGTTTCTGTGGGAACCCCTCCTTTGTGCTTCTGCTCTGAGAAGCAGTAAGCTCTATACACATGAATGGTTATTGGGTCCCGCTATTTCTTCAGATGCTATCGGGTCTGGTTATACGGGACCCACGCTCTCTATCGAGATAGAGAGCATGAGACCGTGTCCAGCTGCACCAGTGGACTGTCTCTTATTGGGCCCTGCTGGGTTACTCCTTCTAATCTAGCGCCCCTTCTGGTCGAGCTAAGAAGTGATCCCCTCTCTGTGAGGGTTAGCTATGAGTCGCTCCGTGGCAGTGACATCTGGTAGTTCGGCACTTGCTGCTTCCCTGATAAGCTGCCTCTATTCAGGCCAAGTCAGGTAGTGCTCCCCTCACCTCAGAGGGTTGTCTTTGAGCCTTCCGCTCCCGACTGAGCGGCTGAGGACTTCTGGGCATCTGTGAGCAGAT